AGGCTAGTGAAGCTTAGAAAGAAAAAAAAACACACTCGCGATGAAATGTTCTCCGAGCTCATGCTGTCCTCCCACACTGACAGAGCATAGACGAATGCGTGGAGGCAAATAATGTCAGAGTGCAGGAAAGCACAAAATGACCGGAAGGAGAGGTGGCGGGCTGAAGAGAGTAAGTGGCGGGCTGAAGAGAAGGCTGAAGCTCAAATGTGGCGGCAGCGTGATGAGAGGAGGCAGGATTCAATGCTGTGGCTGCTGGCGGACCAAACCAGTATGCTCCAGTGTATGGTTGAGCTGCAGCAAAGGCATCTGGAGCACTTGCCACTGCAGCCCCTGAGTAACCAACCGCCCTCCTCCCCAAGTTCCATAGCCTCTACACCCAGATGCCCAAGAACGCGGTGGGGGTGCCTCCGGCCAACCAGCCACCCCACCACAGAGGATTGCCCAAAAAAAAGAAGGCTGTCATTCAATACATTTTAAAGTTGTAAACTTTTAAAGTGCTGTGCTTAAAGTGCTGTGTGGCATTTTCCTTCCCTCCTCCACCACCCCTCCTGGGCTACCTTGGTAGTCATCCCCCTATTTGTGTGATGAATGAATAAAGAATGCATGAATGTGAAGCAACAATGACTTTATTGCCTCTGCAAGTGGTGATTGACGGGAGGAGGGGCGGGTGGTTAGCTTACAGGGAAGTAGAGTGAACCAAGGGGCGGGGGGTTTCATCAAGGAGAAACAAACAGATCTTTCACACCGTAGCCTGGCCAGTCATGAAACTGGTTTTCAAAGCTTCTCTGATGCGTACCGCGCCCTCCTGTGCTCTTCTAACCGCCCTGGTGTCTGGCTGCGCGTAACCAGCAGCCAGGCGATTTGCCTCAACCTCCCACCCCGCCATAAACGTCTCCCCCTTACTCTCACAGATATTGTGGAGCACACAGCAAGCAGTAATAACAGTGGGAATATTGGTTTCGCTGAGGTCTAAGCGAGTCAGTAAACTGCGCCAGCGCGCCTTTAAACGTCCAAATGCACATTCTACCACCATTCTGCACTTGTTCAGCCTGTAGTTGAACAGCTCCTGACTACTATCCAGGCTGCCTGTGTACGGCTTCATGAGCCATGGCATTAAGGGGTAGGCTGGGTCCCCAAGGATACATATAGGCATTTCAACATCCCCAACAGTTATTTTCTGGTCTGGGAATAAAGACCCTTCCTGCAGCTTTTGAAACAGACCAGAGTTCCTGAAGATGCGAGCGTCATGTACCTTTCCCGGCCATCCCACGCTGATGTTGGTGAAACGTCCCTTGTGATCCACCAGAGCTTGCAGCACTATCGAAAAGTACCCCTTGCGGTTTATGTACTCGGCGGCTTGGTGCTCCGGTGCCAAGATAGGGATATGGGTTCCGTCTGTGGCCCCACCACAGTTAGGGAATCCCATTGCAGCAAAGCCATCCACTATGACCTGCACGTTTCCCAGGGTCACTACCCTTGATATCAGCAGATCTTTGATTGCGTGGGCTACTTGCATCACAGCAGCCCCCACAGTAGATTTGCCCACTCCAAATTGATTCCCAACTGACCGGTAGCTGTCTGGCGTTGCAAGCTTCCACAGGGCTATCGCCACTCGCTTCTCAACTGTGAGGGCTGCTCTCATCTTGGTATTCATGCGCTTCAGGGCAGGGGAAAGCAAGTCACAAAGTTCCATGAAAGTGCCCTTACGCATGCGAAAGTTTTGCAGCCACTGGGAATCGTCCCAGACCTGCAACACTATGCAGTCCCACCAGTCTGTGCTTGTTTCCCGAGCCCAGAATCGGCGTTCCACAGCATGAACCTGCCCCATTAGCACCATGATGCATGCATTGGCAGGGCCCATGCTTTCAGAGAAATCTGTGTCCATGTCCTGATCACTCACGTGACCGCGCTGACGTCACCTCCTCGCCCGGTATCGCTTTGCCAGGTTCTGGTGCTGCATATACTGCTGGATAATGCGTGTGGTGTTTAATGTGCTCCTAATTGCCAAAGTGAGCTTGGTATGGCGTCTGCACAGGTAACTCAGGAAAAAAGGCGCGAAACGATTGTCTGCCCTTGCTTTCACAGAGGAAGGGAGGGAACGGGGGCCTGACAATATGTACCCAGAACCACCCGCGACAATGTTTTAGCCCCATCAGGCATTGGGATCTCAACCCAGAATTCCAATGGGCAGCGGAGACTGCGGGAACTGTGGGATAGCTATCCACAGTGCAACGCTCCGGAAGTCGACTCTAGCCTCGGTACTGTGGAAGCGCTCCGCCGAGTTAATGCACTTGGAGCATTTTCTGTGAGGACACACACACTCGAATATATAACCGATTTCTAAAAAAACGACTTCTATAAATTCGACCTTATTCCGTAGAGTAGACATACCCTCATTTTCCAAGGTGTGTGGAGGGAGGGGGGAGGAAATAATCTTAGAATAATTTTAGAAATTACCTTCCATGCATGATTTCTGTCTCTTATTTGAGCAGTGCTTTGTAGGTGATTCTGCAAGGAGGGAAAGGGATACAGTTTATAACCTATTCTTAAAAATGTGCAAAATTAGCAAATTAATGAGTATTCGTTATTTATGGGATGATTTAAAACTATGAATTGTGTATTCATGATTTCTTCATGCTGATATTTTGACTCTAACAAAGAAAGACTCCCTGTGCAGTGAACAAAAGTGAACTATAATAAAAGCAATCTCCTGGGTTAGGGTATTATCCTTCTCCCATTTCAAGTAAATGGCATAGTTCCCATTGACTTCAAAGGTTTTGGATCCACACCCTTAAAGAAACTTCTCCTTTGCATACAGTTTGCCAAAATGGTCACTTTAAGTTGTCTGTGTTTCAGACAGAAGTTACAGTCTGGGGCTTGAAGGATGGACAGGGGGTTAGGTGTAAGAAAATCAACAAATGATATCATTAGAAAACCAAAATAGACTTGAATAAAAAATTTACATCTCTATTTTCCCCATTAGTTATTTATGTGGAAAGTTCTGTTGGTTCCATAACACTAATCAAAGCTGCCTGTAATTATTGAGCCCTGCTACTAAACATGTTTGCTTCCCCGTCTTCTGAGTTCAGTTATTATTTGGTGTTATCAAGATGCGTTGAGCTTTATTTTTATTTTGCTTAATACTTTCCAAATCCATTTAAAAAAAAATCATGATACACAGATTTAGCTTTTAACTGTTTGATCTTATTTCATTTTTCTCTGACAAGAACTTGGGCTTGTTTTTATTAATCATTTGATAAACAAGCATGTGGATTTACCTCCACATGGGGTTTTTGCTTGTTTTTATTAGTCTGTTTTGATAAAGAATCCTACTTTCTTATTCTACATTGCAATCTTTTGTTTAGATGTTCTAAATAATTCTGCATTTTGCTGCTCGTTGTTGTTTGTCTCAATAGAATCTGTTTCTGACTAGTTTGTACTCTTTCTGCTCATGGATTTTAATTTTTCTTAGCCAAATTTCCACATGTTCGCTAACTGCGAATCTATAGATATTGACATTAATCCCATCAAAGAGAAATGTTGTCAAACTCTTTCGTAGTGTAAGCTTGTCATGGTTCTGCTAAATTTCTTTCCTTATTATTTTTGCAGATAGCCCAAAGGATGATGATAATAATAATAATAATTATTATATATATATATATATATATATATATTATAATAATTTATTAAACTATCTCTTGCTGATAACCCTGAGACAAACACTCTTGTGTTTGGACAAGGGACACTGAGCCTGTCAGCAAAGATTTCTGAATGTAAATTTTCAAAAAAACACACATTAACTACAGTTTAGTTTTCTACAAGAATGTTAGGCAAAGTGGGAGGTTAGAAGTAGAGACATTTGTGAATTATACTTTCTAGCATTTAAGGTTGACCTAAAGTGGTGATCCCAACGGGTTAACTGTTCCCTAGTAAAGGATACAAAGGACCAGCTGCAGCAAAGGCCGCCTATTTGTTCTCCAGCGGTTTTTGTATGTATTATTATTAGTTGTAGTATTAGTATTATTTATTTATTATTATTTGTTTGAAAGCCTCTGTTTGAAAGTTGTTTGGCTGTGAAGAAAATCTTCAAAGCATGAAGCAAGTATAACTGATGCAGCAATATCTGCTGGAGAGCCTGGTGTGAATTGTCCCATTCATTTAGCTGATGCTCACTCGGATGCAAATGGGATATTTTAATTGTTTCACATCTCATTAAAATGTGTAAGAAAGGAGAAGTGGTATGAAGATTTATAAGTGTATTATAAAGTGGAGGCAGGCTGATGTAGGACTAGCTTAGGCAGAGAGGAGGGGGAAAATGAGGCTGAAGATGCATAAATTAAGATGGGCAGGCCTTTAACAACTCATGGAACGGGCAGTGGCACTTAATTGGGTTTTATTCCTGAAACTCCGTTTTCAACAGTTTGGGAAATACCGATTTAAAGCAATATTTAAAAAAAAAAAAAGAGTTGAGGATTTTACAAAGTATGGGGGACTTAGGGTAGAAGATTAAAGAGCAACAGGGTCTCTCTCACTTCCTCCAACTCCCCCTCTTCCCCATTAGGGATATCTGGGAACCCTAGTATTGTTAAATATCTTAGTTTAAGCTCCTGGATTGAGTGGGTCCATTACTTCTATTAATATAGGGGTTAATTTTCAGTATGGATTAAAATCTAGAAAGCTGTAGGAATTTCCACCTGCTGACTAAGATGTGAAGTTCCATCATGAATTTCTGTGATTAATTAGTAGCCTGGAAAAAGAATATTGTTTTTGTTGAATTTCTTGAATCATGACTCTGATATAAGCAATACAACATTTTAATACCTGCATATCACTGGGTACATAATCTGTAACAAAGATGATAGATTTAACAGGTCTAAGTGCAAAATATACTATGTAAATACATTACTGAAGTTACTTAACATACGTGACTCCTCTTCTGACTATGACATGGTTTTCCAAGAAGTATGACTGCAATTTCTTCCCTCCTGTTTGTTTTTTAGCCCTGGAGTGAGATCTGATGTAAGCTCTTCTCCGTCCACCACCTCAACAGCAACAGGACCACCTCCCAAGCTTTGCCTGGTCTGTTCTGATGAAGCCTCTGGATGTCATTATGGTGTCCTAACTTGCGGCAGCTGCAAAGTATTCTTCAAAAGAGCTGTGGAAGGTAGGATGTGTTTTGAGAGTTTATTATCTGTTAAAAATTATAAAACATATGTACAATCTAATGCCTCTGCAGGCATCCTTGCTACTTCCTAGAATCCTATGGGAAATTAACTATTTCTTCTACAAATGCTGACCTCATGTATATTCCACTGTGGGTACACGTGTACGCCATGTGCCCAGAGTCAGAGAATTTTGAAAGTAGTGTCTGTTGGTCTGCTCATGTACCCTCACTGTCCTCTGTGCCTCCAACTGTGGAGGTAAAGACCAGAGCTGACCAACCACTTCTCCAGTTCCTTCTTACCACCGTGTGACCTACGTCAGATCCTCCAGCATCCGTATCTTTGTCTTCCTTTGTGCTTTAGTCTGTAAAAATATATAGTAAATAGTTTTGAATTTTACTCAATAGTTTTAGCTAAGTTTTATAGTTAAGTAATTCCCCGTCTTGGGGAATTATCCTTGTGTACCACGTTAAGGGTGCTGTACTACATTCAGGCCTGTACACTTCAAGATCTGTACTTGTTGCCCATGCTCCTTCTCAGTCAGTGATGACCATCAGTGCTGCCTGTCCTGCCATGGGGAAGCTTGTGTCATGGCACGGTGCAGTGTCTGGTACACTTTTCCCAGTAGTACCAGGAAGTGCAGGAATTTGTCTTAAGAAGCACTTAACGGAGAAAGCTAAGAGATCACAGTCGGATCTGGGCTGGGGGACCTTTCCCCCAACCCCATTCAGCAGCTTGACTCAGCAAGGATTGCACTTCCTTAGGGACCGAATGGCTAGGCAGCAGTTGTGCGGAAAAGGACCTAGGGGTGACAGTGGACGAGAAGCTGGATATGAGTCAGCAGTGTGCCCTTGTTGCCAAGAAGGCCAATGGCATTTTGCGATGTATAAGTAGGGGCATAGCGAGCAGATCGAGGGACGTGATCGTTCCCCTCTATTCGACATTGGTGAGGCCTCATCTGGAGTACTGTGTCCAGTTTTGGGCCCCACACTTCAAGAAGGATGTGGATAAATTGGAGAGAGTCCAGCGAAGGGCAACAAAAATGATTAGGGGACTGGAACACATGAGTTATGAGGAGAGGCTGAGGGAGCTGGGATTGTTTAGCCTGCAGAAGAGAAGAATGAGGGGGGGATTTGATAGCTGCTTTCAACTACCTAAAAGGGGGTTCCAAAGAGGATGGCTCTAGACTGTTCTCAATTGTAGCAGATGACAGAACGAGGAGTAATGGTCTCAAGTTGCAGTGGGGGAGGTTTAGATTGGATATTAGGAAAAACTTTTTCACTAAGAGGGTGGTGAAACACTGGAATGCGTTACCTAGGGAGGTGGTAGAATCTCCTTCCTTAGAGGTTTTTAAGGTCAGGCTTGACAAAGCCCTGGCTGGGATGATTTAACTGGGAATTGGTCCTGCTTTGAGCAGGGGGTTGGACTAGATGACCTTCTGGGGTCCCTTCCAACCCTGATATTCTATGATTCTATGATTCTATGATTCCTGCCATGAGGTCTGAGTTAGGCAAGGGAATCTACTCCCACAGACCCCATCGGGGTCTTGTCAAGAAGGCAGGAAGCATTCTCATAAACATGAGAGCAAATCCTCCTCCAGGTCCACTTCTAAGAAGTTGGATATAACCCTGCATAAGTTGATTCGGAGAGACAGGACCCCTCACACTCCAGGGACAGCAGAGTCTCATGCTCCATCTGATGACATTTTTGCTCTCCTTGATCCCCCAATTTCCTTAAGGGAGGAGTGTGTTCCCCATCCCATTGTCCAGCCATGGTTTCCTTCCAGCAGAACCGTCAGTACCACTGATGGATCCAGAATTGGCATTTTCTCTCTCAGTAGATTCTGAACCCCTGAGGAAGATGTCTCCTCCTCTGAGGACATGGGACCTGGACTAGTCTGGAGCCAACCTCCACCTCAGCACCTGCCTCACAGCTGTTGGTACCCCAAGCTGTGGGCACCTCCACAAACACACTTTGACTTGTTTTACTGGCCATGTTGGGGCCGTACCACCCTGCAGAGTTGACGAGATCCGCTACGGAGTCAGTTCACCATTCCCCTGCAAGAGGACAGCCAGAGCTTCCATCTGACCCCATGGAAGCGGGAGGATTATGAGCCATATCCAGCAATTCTTCTGGTACCGACAAGGCTGTCATCATCTATGGATGAAGCAGTTTCTCCAATATCTTCTCCCATACATATCCCTAGTGACCATAAGCAGTTCCAGGAACTGTTATGTAGGATGGTAGTGGCACTGCAGATCTCCCTTGAGGAAATTCAGGATCCCCAACATAAACTCCTGGACATCCTACAGGCTTTTGGATCCAGCCAAATAGTGCTTCCTGTTAATGAAGCCATTCTGGAACCAGCAAGAGCAGTCTGGTGTACCCCAGCCACTAGTGCCCATACCCCTAAGAGAGCAGAAAAATGCTATTGTCTTCTCATTCTACAACTAACTCTTTGGTTATCCAGTTTGCTATGGAGACTTCTAGACAGCAATACCCTAAGTCTACTCTGGTTGACAAAGCAGGTAAACACCTAGATTTATTGGGAAGGAAGGTCTTCACTTCTTCTAACCCTCAGTTCAGAATAGCCAATTACCAAGCACTGTTGCCTAAGTATGATTACCTGAAATATTCCAAATCCATGGACTTCATCAACAAGTTTCCTTAACACGACAGCTCCATTCCACGCTCTCATTGAGGAAGGCAAGTCGGTTGCCAGGATCAGTGGTAGAAGCAGCAGACACACCTTCAAGATAAATGGCAATAGCCATTGTCATGTGCCTTGAATCATTGCTTCACGCTTCAGGGTTTCTCAGAGAGATCCAGAACACTGTGGAGAACCTGCCCTTGGATGAAACCCATCTCTAACCAAAAGATAGATGGGTCCTTACACATTCTAAAGGACTCCAGGGCCACCTTCCTCTCCCTGGGAACATATATAGTGGCCCCAAGAGAAAATTCCACAGGCAATCAACCACTTTACCACCAGCAGCCTTGTAAGCCACCATGTAAGGGGCGGTGGGTTCAGAAGTCCTGTTTCCCTGCACCTTCTGCCATCCTGAGCATCAGCATCATCCTGCCCCTAGCCAAATGAACATTTTGACAGGCGTTCAAGAGCTGCAAATGTATGACATCACCAACTGCTGATTCCCACACATCCTAGCATTCTTTTTCCAGACCTGGAGTGAAATAACAATGGACAAGTGTCTGTTAATCTTCATCCATTCCAATTATGCAATTTAATTTACCCTATTGCTCTCTCCAAATCCTTCATTCCTGCCCCTTTTCAGGGGCCATTCTAATGAGGAGATTCTCAAATAAGAAATAGAGTCCTCCTTACAGCAAGAAGCAATAGAGCGGGTTCCTCTTGAGCACCAAGGAAAGGGTGACGCGTCTTTTGGGACCAGGGCTGTCCCTACCCATATGCAAACTATGCAGCTGCATAGGGCACCAGGAAATTTGGGGCACCAAATTTTCTGGTGCCCTGTGCAGCTGCATGCTGCTCCAGCCCCTGCCCCACCTCTTTCCCATGGCCCCTGCTCCACCCCCCACCTGCCCCCACTCCACCCCTTCCCAAAAGTTCCTGCCCTGCTTCTCCCCACCCCACCCCCAATGAGGACTGCTACAGGGCCGGGCCTGCCCTTACCGGCAGCGGGAAGTGCAGTGACCCGGCCCCAGCCGCACTGCTGGTGAGTGCTGGGGGGCGGGGTTCCCCCCTACCCCCCCAAGCTAGCCCCGGCCCCCTGGGGGGTGCTGCTTAGGGCCCAAGAATAGCTAGGGATGGCCCTGTTCGGGACAGTGGTTCTTCAAATAGCTGTGCCACTAGTATCCTCCTCCTATTTGAGTACTGCTTATCAGTCACCTGCAGTGGAATAGACATAGGAACCAGCAATCAAAGAAGAAGAGAAAGTTACTTACCGTATCGCAAGTGAAGATTCTTTGAGATCTGTGGTCCCTATCTATATTGCACTACCCACCCCCTCCTTCACCTCTGCATTCTTCAATTTGTGGGAGTGAAAGAACTGGAGAGATGCTCAGTCTGCTCTACCTTCATGGTTGGAGCCATGAGGAGAGTGAGGATGTATTCATGAGCCAAGTGACGCTGCTTTCAGAATTCTCCAGCTCTGGGTGCATGAAGCACATGCATACCCACAGTGGAATACATATGGAGACTACCCATCGTGAGAAATTTCCAATTACTGTAAAGTAAGTAACTTTCTCATATCTAGACTATGTTCCTAGTAAAAAAAAAAAATTGATAGTGGTGTGAGTACCTAAAGCATGGAGTACATGTACATTTATATAATACACCCATTCACTGAGAGTGTGAGAGGGTTTATTGTTATCTTTGCTTGGTATCATTTATTTTTGTTTGCTTTTCTTTCATTGGTTGTGTTGTTGGTGTCATTTTTATGTAAATTGTGTGTGTTAATATGTGATAAAACTTATATAGGGCATGTGATTTTGAAGGTCAAAGTTTAAGTAGACTGTATGCCAGCTATGTGTGACATCCTATATGGAAATTGATAAGTTTATCTTAAACAATCCCATAATAGTATTATAGCAGTTTTACAACATTTGCTATAAACAATTATGCTCATCAACCTGTTATATTCTATAAATGGGTGTATGTATTTTTTGAGATCACTAGATGACAGCATTGTGATAAACGACTGTCAAGGTTTCTCCCTGATCTAAGTAGTAGTAAAGCAACAATTTAAAAAAAAAAAGAGAGAGAGAGAGAGAAGATATGAGCTTACAATGTGTAAGGCAGCTCAACCCTTCTTCCCCCTCCCCCAGCACCAATATGATTTTGGGGTGCATACACAAGCATTATGAAATGGACCAGGTTCTGCCTCCTTATATGACCAGCAGAAAGATGTGGGCAAGTTGCAGTTGTTGGGGAAGATTTTTTTTTTTAATTAAAAGCTTACCATAATTCTCACACCCTAAGCTACATAATGTCAGTCTTGCCTTGGAAGAATCATGCTAGCTCCTA